GTACTCATTAAGCGATTAATGAAAAACTCTTGAAGAAATTTTCTTCGTAATTTGATGTTTCAATATCATTCAGATGACAAATACTTCTATGGTTATCGATTAATTCTTGTCTCACAGAACGCTCCATTTCGATCTATTCGTCGTGCGTACGAGTAACAAGATCGTTCCTATCATAGTATACGCATGTAGTACATTCGGCCTTTATCGAAAGATATCTCACCTGCGTATCTGTAATAAGATAACGTGCGCGTTAGTTGAGCTAAAGTGCCGCACCTTCGAGTTCTCTCCTAAGTCTTTCCTAAGTGTGGTTCGTGAACAAAATTTAAACAAAATCGTGAGAGTATTGTCGATTGACGGGGGATACAAAAAGAAATAATTAAAAAATCGAATTTGTTGATATTGCATCATGTGATCACAACGAAAGACACCAGTGTTGTTCTAATTAATATAATTTTTCTGTTGGACATTGGATAAGTCACAAAACAGGTATAAAATAACAAAACGATTAGGTTCTTTTAGAAAAATATTTTACATTTGTTTTTGGATCGATCGCGAAATTCATAGCGTTTTAATTTGCCTCGAAATAAGTAAGTATTTAAAGAGAAAATGATTCAGATTAATTAGAAACGTGTTTAAAAAATTGACTCTCGAATGATTCACGATGACGTATCAGTAGCGTATTTTTCACGTACACGTGTGATTTATTTAATGAAACTCTTATTTATATGCTTGCAAAAATTTTTGATTAATAAAGTGTAACAAAAAATATAATTAATAATATACGTACATTGATTGATGAATTTCTTTGTTTAAGAAAATCTCCTTTCTAAATTATGACCATTCATCTTCAAGAAGTTGTAAGATCTGAAGTGGAAGGTGGTCTGACAGGGCCGGCTAATCCAATACCCAGTCAATCGATAGATTGTGGATGTAAACAATTTCCTTGTCCAAAATTAGCAAAATTCGCAACGAGATGTACGTTCGTTGGATTAATCTGTTGGGTCGGCCTTCTTCAAGCTGCTTCATCTGCATATTTTTACATTATTGGCTCTACGATAGCCAGGAGATTTCAATTCGATCCTTATTTAATTGGTACGTGATGCTGATTTGCAAAAATCAATCTAAGAAATTATTTTGAAATATTTGTTTCATTACAGATTGGATTTTGGTCGTGTCGGAATTAACGCCTTTTTTTCTTGGTGTCGTCGTTGCATATTGGGGTGACAAAATTCATAGGGCATCGTGGATAGGTGCTCTCGTATTATTGCAATGTGCTGGCTATGTGATATTGATAATACCACATTTAACTCATAAAGTTAGAGTTATCGAAGAAACCTTTAATGTCACTCATATGTCTCTATACGCAGGTAATTTCTATTAATTAGATTATACAAATATTAATAAAATGTAAAAAACATTTAATGAATCCTAACGGAATTAACGAATCTGTAGCTTATTTTCAGACGATAGCCCGGAATTATGCTCGTCCAGTGCATCAAGAATAATAATAGAAGAGGATGATAACACCTGTTATTTCACTCTCGCAGTTTTATGTTGTGTACAAGTTCTAATAGGCATGGCAAATATAGTCTACTATGCGCTCGGCATTTCCTATCTTGATGATAATACCAAAAAACAACATGTGCCAGGATTTTTTGGAATAATTATCGCAGTGAAAATCATCGGTGTTCTTTTAGGATACATTCTAGCTTGGGGTTGTCTTCGGTAATTAAATAATAAATAGAAAATATTTCGATTATACAGCGTTAAATATACAAAGTATTTGTTTAAATCTGTCATCGTTTATCTTTACCTAGGATAGACGCGGAAAATTTGAAAGTGGTGGAATCTTATCAAGAACAAATAGGTGCTTGGTGGCTCGGTTTTCCTATTCTAGCAGCAACTATGATAATTCCTGGTCTCTTACTCTCATGGTTTCCTAGAAGATTACCTTCTGAGGTAAAACTATTATAAAGCATGCAATAGTTATAAAAATAAAACATGTATTCATAAAAACTTAATTATTAAGAACAAACGATAACGAGAATTAATTTGATAGGTAGTGGAACAAGCAGCTGCTTCGATCCTCGATCGAGCAGGTACGCTAACTTTGCGTCGCTTAAGATCAGTAGATCATAAAATCGGTACTCCAAATTTTTGTGCGATGCTCGGAAGGCTAATGACTAACAAACTACTAATATGCAACATTCTCGCATCAGCCTTTTGCGCCATGGCTCTCTTAAATTTCATGACACATGAGAATATAATTTTGGAATCTAGATATCACATACCCAAACCAACGGGAATGTTGCTCGGATTTGGAGATCCTTTACATTCCAGATTGATCTCGAGTTTCTTAAAACCAGTTTTGATTGGACTGATCATAATTATTTCTGGATTGGTATTGTCCAAAGCTAAACCCCGAGCGACGTTTATAGCTGGTTACAGCTTCATTGCAACAGTGTTAGCAACTATCATAATATTTGCTTTGGTCTTTACATATTGCGATTCACCATCAGTCGTTGGGCTGAATAAAGGATCGTAAGTATGCATACTTATGATAATTATACTACTTTAATCCTCTTTAATTACCATATGTTTTTACATGATATTTCATTTGTCTGCAAGAATCCACTTGTTGCAATATTGCAACAAAGATTGCCGTTGCTCGAAGGATGCAGATTTTCGTCCAATCTGCGATACCAGAGGCACGCACACATTTTATACGCCTTGTCACGCTGGATGCACTTCCGTAGAATACATAGACAATATTAAGATCTACGGTGACTGCAGTTGTATCAAAGAAATAGCGGAAAACCTGGATGCCAAGGAAGGTCCATGTGGCTCGTCCAGCTGTCAAATCGGATGGCTAGTTTTTGAAGTGAAGCATCGATTTTTTCATTTAATTATTATTCTACAAATGCAACGAATTTGTTTTTTAAAAACATAATGATTCTATTTCAGTTTGGTACTTTGCTTGCTTACGCTTTGATCGCATCTACTTTCGTTGGAGATCTGTTGATCAATCTCAGATCGGTATATAGACAAGATAAAGCGAGCAGCATAGGATTTTGGATGATGTGGGTTGCGTTATTCGTCAATGTACCTGGCAAAATTCTTTATCAAACGATCGCGAACATAACGTGTATATATTGGGGTAATAAAAGGACCATATGTCATTTTCACGAGAGTCCAAAGTTTGGAAACTATATATTCTTCTTGACGACTTTATTACTAGCTATCTGTATTATTTTTAAGATTTTAGTATGGATTTTCTGTAGAAATTTAATGATATATGGTAGGCCGATTAACGACAACGAAGAGAACACGGTTCAGTCGCAGGAATTGATGCCAATGCAACCTTCAATAAATTCGAATGAAAACGAGACCGTGCCCAAATCTGATAACAATGGTAATTATAAAAAAAAAGATGTATTTTTATTTTACAATGTCTATCGGTATACTTTAATAATTATTTGTGATTATTTAGGTGTCGTCCCAACATCAGAAGAAGTATCGAAAACTACAGAAACAGACACATTAAAACTTACGACTAAATCAAAGACAAAAGTAGAAGATAATGTAGAAAATAAAGAAGAAGTAGAAGAAGAAGGAGAATTAAAACGTCCTTTAATATACGGTCCACTGGGTCCGGGAGATCGACGAAAGACTAGCAACGACAAACCAGTTCAACGGGATCCTCCTAGAAAGCAAATGGTTCTCGAAACGGAAGACGAATTGGACAGTTCCAGTGACGAAAGTAAAAAAGATTTTAGCCCTAAGGTTGCATATAAACCATTAGAACTTGATTCGGACGTAGAAAGCGATCTTGGAAGTGTAGCGGCAAGGTCAAGAAAGCGAGTGGTTAGTAAGGATTATGATGAATTCACGGAGAGATCGAACTCGTCTATGAGTTCGAAAAAACGAGAATTTCCGAATCCAGACGAGTATGGGGATCCAAGGTTGTTAAGAAACGTTTTGAAGAAGGATTGGAGATCTTACGAAGATGGATCATCCAAAACAAGTAGCTTTGAGTATTCCAAGGCGGGCCCTTCGAAAAAAGGGGACTTCAATGAAATTGGTATACCAATAGTCGAATATCATTCTTCGAGTGCTAACAACTCGACTGGACTAAACTCTCCATTCTTGAAAGACGTCAAATCTTTGATAAACCAATACGAAAAGAACTCTAGCCAAGAACAATTGGAGGATGATCAAGCATCTATCAGATCGGCTGGCAAAACAGGGGTTCCTCTCGTAGCTATGACTCAACCGAGACTCTCTTCCGGACAAGCTTCTTCAGGATTTGGCAGCTTGAGGGAAAGCTCCTCCGATCCTCGAGGAACTCCCAGTCCAAAGAACTCTTCTATCAAGGGTAGCAAAGGGACACTCTGTACCGATTTGTGAATTATTTATGTTCCGTAAAACCACGACCGAAACCATCCCTCCACCCTCCCTCCTCCTCGCCCTCCACCCTTCCATCCATCCGCGCACACATACACAAACGCACGGACTGGAATTATCTTCGATCTCTCTATTGAACTATTCTCTCGTAGATATCCTTACTTTCGTTGCTTACGATCATCAAATCTTGATCGCGTGCGCGCGGTACGATCATTATTATTTTATATTTTATATTTATTATTCAATTAAAATTTATTATATCGTAAATGTGAATTTGAGTTTTTACCTTATTTGATTTATCGTTTATATATCGTTGTCTCAGAAAGAAAATTTTCACGATTCATATTTTATTATTCACAGATCTAATTTAAAGAAATATTTGAAAACGTTAGGAAAGGATCGGGATGTCGCGTCTTTTATCATAAAACATTGAATTATTTTTCAAGCAACGTATACAGACATCCTTTTTCATCTGTAATAAAGCTAATCTAGTTTTCATCGATTGCTAACGTAATTCTTTGATAAAAATAATCCATTTTTACAATTGTTATTTGTATAATCACATAGGTATCAAGTAAATGAAAACATTAGTAAAATTAATAGAAAGGAGACCAGGTCTTATTCGACAAAGTCTTTTTGATGAGATAAACCAATATAAGAGTTCAATCTTATAGGTATCACGAGTTTTAAATATTTAAAATGATTCTTAAGGTACTTGTAAAGTCTTTATTCGTCGGCCCCTATCATTTTCTTTTCTTGTTCTTCCTTTTCAAGTCTTTCTCCTTTTTTGAAACTTTAATCGTCTCAAACTTGCATCTCGCTTTGAAGAAAAACACCATAGAGTTCTTCAAAGCGTTTCACCGGGCTCCTCAGCAATATCCTCGAGCTCGATCTCTTCGTCGAAAATTTTCACGTCTTTTACGTAATACCAGACACCAACGTCGAACAATGTTCCAATGATCACAAAACCTTCGCAAAAAAAAGAAAAAAAAGAAAAAAGTTTTATCATAAAAATATCTTTGAATTTGTCAGCGATTATTTTTGCATGCTTTAAAAAAGAATAATATAGCGAACAACAAATTTTCGTTCCAAGTACATTTTTATCAGTGCTATCAAAGTCATCGGTTGTCATCGATATCAGCCATGTATTATGCATGACTTTGAATTTTGTTGACCACTCATTTTCTTTCCACGTCTTTTCGTTCGAAAAAATATATTTAAGTGTTTCGTTTCTTACTTATCATCTTGTATACGAATAAACAAAATAACTTACTTGCTGCAGTGAAGTTCAACAAGTATCTAAGAGCCTCGCCATTGTAGAGCCAACAATTTCCGGTTCCTGTATACGTCTTACCCCACACGAGACAAGTCTTGTCTAAAAAAAAAATATATATATATATACTTCGTGTTTTTTGAAAGAAAAGATATTATGTAAGTTAAAAAGATAAAAAACACACCTAAAATGAATCCAAATAAAATGGGTGATGGTATAAAGGCAAATAAACTCATGATAGTCAAGCCAAAACCCATGGCTACCGTTTTGTCTTTCTCGTCGACGCATCTCACAGAAACAAGAAAGTTCGATGCTCTTCCTGTACCACCGCTAAACTTGAGTAGACACATAACCGCGAGGAAGATATAAAATTTACTCATGCAATCGACGGGACAGGCTCCGGGTATCGCTGTACCTAAAGTTGGTACCAATTCGGGTTCCATAATCTCCGTGGATAGCTCGGTTGTAAGGCTTGAAAAATTTGTCGGTACCATAAAGTGTGCCAGAACTCCAGAATGTTTCGATTTAACGCAACCACAATCTGTGTAGACTTTACTACCGTCCTTGTGCAGCTAGAGAAAATAGACAAATCATGCTTGTTTGTTTGCATTATCGAAAATTGAATCGCATTTTAAGATTGAGCAAAAAAGAAACCTGCATGTTTCGACAACCAGCGTGACAGGCTGAAATGAATGTTTGACCATGCTCAGAACAGACTGGATTGTACGTAACGTAGTCACAATGGCAAAGCTCGTTGCAAGGCAATTGGGTTTTCAGTGCTCCGTTCGATTGAATGGCCATTTGATCGTCGTTTGCTGAACACCCCAAAAAGGCGTAGGAAATAATTCCCATGATGGATATGGCACCAACCATTACGTTCCATGCTGCTAGATACCTAGCTTTTGGCTTGTATTTGGAGATTATCAAACCGGATAGTAGAATTCCAAAAGCACTGGAAATGAGACCAACGGTACCGGTGATCAACGAAGAAACCGATGCCGACTGTTTGTACTGAGTTTCGATATATTTCGGCATGAAAATCCAATACGGCATGTAACCCATAAAATAAAAGACCGTAGCTAGATTGTTGCACATCAAAGTCGTATTAGTTAGTAAACGTTTAAACGTTCTCAGCATATCTGACAAGGAAGCAGGAAGTTCAGGTTCCTGATCGTTTGCCTTGATACTAGCAGCCGATTTATTCCGTTCCAAGGCCAGAACTTTGCGAGCTGCTGCTCTTGGTAAAGTTTTTGGGAAGAGAGCGATCACGCATGCAAAGAGGAAGAGTAAAAAGGCCAGGATTATCCAACCTAACCACCATGCGCCAAGCCACCTGTTCGTTTATCGACATTTAAATTTTGTATATAGTTCTTACGAATCGTAACAGGGTTCCTACCTTGGATCCTGAGTTGTAATGGTCGGTGTCAAGGTCGGACTGATGTAAAATTTCAAAGCAAATGATGCCAGACCGTAACCTATCGCTGGGCCCAACATCCTCAAAAAGTATGAAAAACTTATGAGCGCTGGAGTTTTAGATTTTTGTATATTGTCATCCATGTAAGAGACACCTAAGGTGTAATAAAGCGATCCACCGACACCCGAAACTAACTGAGCGATAAAGAGTAATACTTGAGGCGCGAAATTACTATCGGTATCTTCGAACTCTGGCCCACGGGTATTATCCAAACACAAAAATTTCCGATGTTTGTCGGGAATCAAGCTGCTAGTCGAAGTGTTGGGCAAATTTTGAATTTTTCCGCCGTATTCCTTGGTCAACATTAATGCATCCTCGCCTGGTCCATAAAGAAAGTGCGGCAACATCGTTAAACAGCAAAAAAGCACAACCTAAAAGAAAAACAATGATTCATTTATTAATAGGACAATTTTACTTATTAGTACAAAGTTTTAATTAGAAAAGAATTTATTGCAGAAAGGGTGAAAAATACTGTTTTCTATAAAACTTGTAAAAATGATATTTACCATTCGTTATCTTAATGATAACTCGACGTTTGTATATTCTGAACAATATCGCGAAAGGGTGATAAATGTGTCATAATTAATCTTATGAGACTGTGTGCAAACGTTTGACCTTACGTGATTTCCGATTGTAACTAAACAAATACTGACGAAATGTTTAAACTTTGTTTTACGATATTTAAATTAGATTTAAGAATGGAAATGAGAAAATAATATGGAAAAAGAAAGTATGAGAGAGAGGGAGAAAGAGAGGGATAAAGAAAACGAAACGAAAGTCTCTTGATGTGATATTTAACGAAATAACGAACGATCTTTTTAGCGACAAAGTAAAAATGGACGACAGCAAAGTTCCAAGTACTCCAGGAGCGCCTTTTCACCGTTCAATGAATGAATGAATCTAAGCATAACTAAGCGTACGATGGCGAGAGTACGAGATGGTAAGAGGCGTGAATGAGAGTAGCTACGTTTTCAACGCTTCCTAATTTAATTAAGAACCGACCAACCGGTGTGTGTTATGACGTCTCCTATCTTGTTCCTCTCGGGGGAGTCCGCCGACACGGACTTGACCGATACTACTACGCATTTTTCCCATATTTTCTTCGATCGATTTTCGTCTTGGCTTTTAAAGAGACTTACGGTATAAATTCCGAATGCGATCCATCGTGGCCTGTGACCCCTTCCAGCATAGTAAGACAATACCACTGAAATGAACAGCTGGGAAATATCGTTACCTACGGTGATGAGACCTGCGACACGAATTTTTAGCGTTACAAACAGACAAGAACATTTGTTTGGAGAATGGAAAAAAGAAAGAAAAGAAGCGATGGCTTACCGGTAGTTTTGGAGGGTATCTTAAATCTCTTCTCGATAGTGGTGATCGTGCCGTTAAAATACGCGTAACTGGCCGAAAATATGCAACCGAGAATTCCATAAAGGAAAACATAAGCCTTTTTATTGGCAAACCTCTGTAGAGTTGGTCCACGAAGACACCATATACCACAGGAGGTGTCATCCGTGATGGGTAATTCCCTGAAAACATCTTCGAGGCCTCTGGTTGGCGTGGTAGGTGTCGTTGGTGTGGTTGGCGGGGTACTAGGCACCCTTAAGAGCTTACAACTTTCGGGACCATTTTTTTCATGACCCGAATTGTTGGTCGAATTTTTGGAATTCTTCATTATCTTCGATTAGCGTTCTTCCTAGAGCTTAGTTCTACGACAGTGTCACCCTCAGATCTTTTTCTCTTCGAGTGACCTCAATTCCGTGTCGCGTTCCGTTTCCGATCTCCGGTCCTTGGCATCGCTTTTCCTTTTACAAATTATGCGAATACCGTCGCGACACCGTAGCAACAACTCGCGATGGAACTTAATCTTATTCTCCCTCTTTTTATTTCCCTCTCTATCTCTCCTTGTGTCTCCGTGTCTTCCTCCCTCTAATGTTCTCCTTTTCGATCAATTGAAACTCACTCCTCTCGTGAGATCTCACGATTTTCCATCTTTCTTGACACTACGGAGAAGGAAAGATAGATAGAAAGAAAGAAAGAAAGAAAGAAAGAAAGAAAGTAAGCGAGAGACCTGTAATCTATCGATAACGTCACTGCAACCTCCCTTGTTCTATAAGTTAATAATACGAGTAAGATTTCTTTAAAGTTCCCAGATAAAGAAAGTCTTCCGAGGAAATTCGTCCAAGCAAGCGCACACCGTTACACGAAATAATGCTCGCAACGATTATTCTTTATAAACTGACGACGACGTCGGTGAACCGTGACAACGAAAGAATCCGGGATCTCATAAAGGATCCCCACCTTCGTTAATTCTTTAGGGCCCTGAAGATCGACCGAATTACGAAGGTCCACGGCGCGGAGATCGACGCGATACGCACCTATGATATCCTCGCTTCGACGGTTCTGTTATCAACTCGATGCGTATCTCCTATCTCTTTCTATCTTTATCTTTCTCTCTCTCCTTCTTCCTCTCCCTCTCTCTCTCTCTCTCTCTCTCACGCCATTGCATCGCTCGAATCTACGCAACACCCCTCTTCCTCGTCCTCCTTTTTTGTCTCTCTCTCTCTCTCTCTCTCTCTCTCTCTCTCTCCCTCTCTCTCTCATTCTCCTGTTTCTCCGCCTCGCTCGTTCCTACCTCTCTTTTGCTAGAACGATCTATTCCATATAGCATTTGCTATCTTACGACTCCACTCGTTCTACTTGTTCTCTCCTGTCTTGCTAAATCTCCGGCTGTTTCGCACCCTTTTGCTTTATTTTTCTTATAACATTAGGATCATTCGATGTAACTTAACTGTTTCGTAAGAATAATTTATTCGTTTGATAAATTTTTAAAAGACGTAATGAATAATTTAAAACGAAAATAAAAGAAAAAGTAAATTGATTAGAAAATAAACGGTCGTGAGAGTACAGAGTCTCGATACCCTTTAAAGAGAAAAAAAAAGTTGTCAGAGAAGATAAACGAAAGGTAGCAAAGTAGATCGTAATTAGCCTTAGGAGGTCTTTCGTCCAGTCTCGTAGCTCGATGTCTAAGCTCGTTTCTAGCCGAGCTCACCGTAGTATAGGCTCACATTGTGAACCTATTATGATTTAATAGATGAGACGCGCGAGCGCGCGCACGCTCGAGCACACATTCGCTTACACACGGTGCCGCCGCCGTAAACTCTTCCGTCTATTCCTGCGCATTGCTAATGGCGCACACCAAATAGCTATACCGCTAATAGTTGTCAGCTAATTGCTGGAATTTAATTTTCGTCGTGCTCCAGCAACCGCTGAATCGAATACTCGCAAACCTCGCTTCCGTTCTTGTTCTCGTCGTCTTCCTCGTCCTCGTCCTCGCTCTCGTCCTCGTCCTCGTCCTCGTCGATTTTCCTTATCACGAATAAACATTTTTTTTTCATATTTTAAATCTTTCATTTTGTTATTTAACTTTGTAGCTTATTTATATACGACTTTCGTTAATATTCTTGACGATCATTGGCTTGGGACGGTTTCATTAAAACGTTATAAAATAAATGTTGTTGAATAATTAGAAAACTTCGATATTTAAGAATAAGAATATAAGTAGATTTTCGATTGTAAATAAGATTTAATCACTAGTAGCAATGATCCACCTTGGATTTTTTATTTTATGTTTATATACCATCTACGTTATATCTACAAGGGATACGATTAATATTTGAAGTCAACTTTTTCAACAATAATGTTTTCAACGTAAAAATTGAATAATTCATTTCAATCCCATGTAATCGAAATTATACGTACGTGTATATTAACATAGAACGTGATTTGCAAGAAACGTCTTGCTTCTTTGACAATATTTACGCTCCGATCGTGAGTATAACAAGACGTATGAACATTTACACATCGACGATAACGGGTTGTCATAAATTTATTTGCGATCTTGGAAACGTTCTCGTAGCCTGCACGAAAAATCTTTGGTATTATTACTTTTCTATCCATAGCGTACCATTAGCGAACGAACACGCATACGCCGCCGAGATTTCTTCTCCCTCTTTCTCTTTTCTTTTAAAAAAATAAGAAAATATTTCGAAGTAGTGGCGCCGTTTGAGCTTATCTCTAGAGAACTCTAAATGATCGATTAGACGAGGTATGGAAACTTTGATACTTTTAAAATCATGGAAAATTCTTAGGAAAATCATTTCGAAAGATTATGAGGTGGAAAGGAAATTGAACAAAAAATTATTTGACGCGATAAATCGGTAAAAATTCGTTCTTAAAAAAAAAAAAAAAAAACACGCCGTTTAATTTATGATTCTTTCTTTCTTTTATATTTGTACAGCATCCCACGCAGACGTTATTGTATTTATGACGAGACCTTCTCATACATAGTATATATGAAGATACGTAAGTACGTCAGAAAAAGACGTTATTAGGTAGATTTGTATTCGAAAAGAGTCAAATCACAAAACTGATGGCCATATCTCGATTGATTACAACTTTAATATTTAAGAATATTACTTCATCGAGTTTATTACTAGCCAACTATTACGTTGAGAATTCTATTTTCGTTCTCGAAAATCGCTGTTTCCATTAAAACTTCGCGGTATCTACTGTTTGCTCTGATCAAATTATTTTCAATATTTTTCTTCTACGCGAAACATAGGAGCGTGACTCTGTAATTTTAATATTGCTTTACTGCTGTTAAAAATATGGTGAAAAATAAACACGGATTCCCACCGTAGTTAATAATCATCGCTAGTCTCTTTAGTTATTCCTTTGCAATCATTAGATCTTACGTCGCGAGTTTTGAAGAGCGAATTCGTTTTGAGGAGTATGAACAGTTCGTTGATCGCGATGTTTCATTTCTCTTTGCCGGTCAAACTCCGAAGATGTCGAGATCGTTGACTAGATGGGACTGTACCTCGACTTAGAAGACTTTGATGAGGTCTATATGAAAGATGGGTCAGGGTCATGCACAATGGACCACGTACATACATCGACAAAACTTATGAATGCTGACCTATAGACAGAATGAGATATTCGATCCATCTTCTTCATCTCTTTCTTTCTCTCCTTCGTCGTTCAAACATTCGCTTAATCGCTGGACAAGTCAATAATCGATAAGCTTGAATCAATTAATGACTCGCATCGTGTCTCCTTTTTTCATTTTTCATCCAACAATTGATTAACATCTATTTGTTATAAGTTATCTAGGATTTATCGACAAAATGTAAGCTTATTGTTTCATCGTATCGCGTTTAATAATTGTTTAACGTATGTGCATCTAAACTGTTTACAATTGATAATTTCGATATGCATCGTCGTAGAATAACGACGATGTAAAATCAATCGTCGTCGAAGAAAAATTGATTTAGAATGAAAATAACAATTACTTTAATCTCTCTCTCTCTCTCTCTCTCTTGTCAATATTTTTATAATTATTAAAATGAAGATAACTTCTTAAAGTAGGTTATCTTCTAAATCTAAAGCGTGGATCTTATAAATATAAAAAAAGAAAAGAAGAAAAAAAGCCCAAAAGATCAATGACACGAAGTATATACTCTAAGATTATATATATACGACTTACTCTAGTGTAAGTGTAAAATTTTCAAATGACTATTGAAGAATCCTTATCAATCCTAGCACGGTACACACGATTCGATATCGATCGAAACGATGATAAATAGAAAAAGTAGAACTCCCTCCGAAGAAAAAATAAATAGATTGATAATCGTTCTCTCTAGTGCCGTTTAGGAGGTACAAGATAGTTGAGGTCGTTCGCATTTTTCGTAAATCCCGTAAAAGGTAAGAGGAAAGCGCATCCTCCCAGAAGGAAGGAAGTAAGCGTCGTTATAGCAAAGGATGGCGATCGATAGCAACGTCCTGACGTCACGGGGACGTCGCGAATTCATTACAACATAGTCCTCCCACTCGCTGCCCCAGCACCTCCCCCCATATTATTTGAGCTACCGTCTCAGCTATACCCACCCACCCACTCACCTACCACCTACCAACCACCTCCCACCTCGGCCCGTGGCTCTTCTGGGTGGGCTTAAAAATTAAAAGACTCTCAAACAAACACTCCCTTTTTACTTTCAGGCTCGCGATAGTAATCCCTTCTTTCTGTTTCTCTCTTTCTCTATACCTATCTTTTCCTTCGTCCATGTAGAATTTGGCTGAGGTATAAAGACGACCCCTTAAGACCTCGATCTCCTCTCTTTTATCTCCCTCGGTTTCGTTTCCTTTCTCTCCGTTCCGTTTATTCTTCTTCTCCTTCTTCTTTTTTTTTTCTTCCCCCCAGATATCCTTGTTTCACCCTTTCGTAGTAAAAACGTAAGGTAGGACGACGACAACGACAACGACGATGACGACTACTACGATCGAAAACGATTTACCTACCACTTTTCTTTATTTCTTTATTCTTTTTTTTTTACCATCAGGTCGAAAACCCTTTTCTCTACCAGGACTGGGCATTACCCCCTATTTGCGAGAGATTTAACGTCAAATCTGAAGGGTTCCTCGTCGAAATGGATGGATTTCTTACATTTTCTTGTTGTTGATCTTCTATTTGTTTTCAGAAATATGCAGCATTTAACATGTATCTGCGTTATCTTACAATTAGTTCTATTGAAATAAAAATTGTTATACCTAATAAATCCGAAGAAAAAAGAAAAAGGTAAAAATATTGGGGAAGTCATGGGAGAGGAGGAGGTGAATACCATAGCGAGTCGTCGCTAATCGACTCATAACCTTCCATGATAATACGATCAATCGATAGCAACAAAACTCGTAAAACGTTTCGACTACGATACGCGTTTGTATTTTATTTTCGAAGCAAACGAGCGAAAGATATCTGAACGCGTTTGGTGCCACGACGATAATGACGTTGGTAACAGGAGGAAACTTCGACGTTCCTCTCTATCTTTTTCTTAGTTTTTTTTTTTTTTTTTTTTTTTTTTTTTTTTTCTCAAAAAAAAAAACATCTCCTATTTTATTACAGGGACGCCGAAAGAAAGTCGTACGAATAAATTATCAACGAGTTGGAATGTAAATCATAAATATGTCTATACATATGTGTGTGAATAATTTTCGTTTTTTATATACGTATCAGTTGATAACAAGGTGATGAACCCATCGTTGGAAACTCTTTTGTTCATTTCGAACAATAATCTAAATGAAACTTCCTTTTTTTCGTACGCCTTCTTTTTTTCTAGATTTTTGTGTGTCTGTATGTTTATAACGCTTGAGTTACGCGTTGTGTTTGTACAGCGCGAGTATTTTCTTTGATCACATTAAAATAATTGTATATATACATGTACGTTTTATACGATATATATATATATATATATAAAATATTGCTATTCCCCTCGTGGTAATACGAACGGTCAACGTTCGTAACATGTTATTAGATATCTTCCCGGCAATTTTCAGGTACCTAGCAGTGGATCTCGTAATAAAATCACAATTTTCTACGATTACAAATCCGAGCCGTTTCATCGATTAGACGTTTCTCAAATCATTTTCCCTTTCCTTCTTTCTTTATCTCTTTTTCTCTTCTTTTTCTTTCCCTTAAATGCATTACATTGAATATAAATTCACAGAACATTATAGATGCGTGCGTTCTATCCTTTGATTGGCGTTTCCATTAAAAACTTTTTTCTTGCTCAAGCCGGTGATATCCTCGAAATTGTCCTCTTTAATGAATTCACGACGTCTGTCGTTCTCAAGTGTCCCGTAAAGATCTAAATCTTTTCCGAGATAGCACACGGCTACATCGAATAGTACTCCTATTATAGAAAATCCTAAAAAATAACAAATATTTGTTGAAAATCGATCATCTCTTATCGAACGTTGTCAAAGAATAAAAAATATAATACTGACCAACCGACGAGATATTAACGAGATATCGAAAATTTTCTCTATGATGGAACCAACAGTTGCCTCGAGTTCCACAGGATTCCTCCCAGATCAAACAGGTCGAATCGATGATCGCACCGTAAATTATTGGTCCTGGTATCAGGGCGAACAGTGAAATAATCATAAGCGTGACACCCTGAGCAAAGCTTTTGTCCTTCTTTTCGACGCTTCTGTAATTTACAAGGACGTTGCCGATTTTTCCAGAACAAGCAAGAGTTTGTATGATACAAGTGAGCACTGTGAAGAGTATGTAAGGTCCGTTACAACTGGAGGGACAGGGACCAGCTCGGACCTTGTCCGAATATGTGGATAATCGGACATCGAGAGGCTGGAATTTATTTTCAAAGAAGCCTTCATTTCCTTTCTTCTCTTCTAATTGATCTCTTGTTAAACTGACCTCTATCTGTGGCACGCAACTGCAATTACCAAATTCTTTATCGTCGACGATCGTACGGCATCCTGCGTGACAGGCAGAGAAGAAAGTTGTGCTCGAGGGTTCGTGACAGACCGGTGCGTATTTAACGTATTCGCAATTGCACGCAGCGTTGCAGTTGGACGTTAAATTCATTCTGTCGAACAAAAACGATCATTATCGTGCATTAATCGTGCATTATCATAGCTTTATAGCTTAATCATTATTTTGTGATGTCGAGTAAATTGCCATACTCACTGCATAGTTTTAAGGTCTACTCCTTCGATTCCTACATCAGAGCATCCGAGAAAAATAAAAGAGATTTGTCCTGCGACGAAAAAAACCCCAACGAGAACGTTCCAAGCGAGCAAAGGCCTAGGACCTGGCTTGAATTTACTTATCACCAATCCTGATAATAAAAATCCTAGTACCATACCCACCAAAGATAACGGACCTAAGAAAGTTACGGTTAACATGACGTTTTAAAGTGTTACATTTTTGTTGTAGAAAACTGTTCGAGATAGCAGATCGAAGTCGCAGTATTTATTTTTTTAAGATACTTTATTTAAATAATACACACGAATTCACAGAGATTATGGGCCAGACCTAGTATATAATAATTGGACCATATTGGAACATATTCTTTCCTTGTTTCACATTATTTCACATAATTTGTATTCAGTATTAAGGTATTACTTTTTTCTCTCAATCAGTCAATCAATAATATAAAAATAACATCACAATCTTATTATCAAAATTATCACGCTAGTTTCTGTCTTAGCTTTCTGCGAATTCGTGTATATTATTTAAAAATGAAGTATCTTAAAATAATAAATACTGCGACTTCGCAGTGCTATCTCCAACAAAAACAAATGGTGGAAAAATAACATTACCTGCAATAACCGTGCCACCAGCGGCGGATGTATTATATTGCACTTCGAGATATTTCGCTAAGAATGTGATATAGGCAGAAGCACCGAGAACGTAGAATACACCGCTAAGATTGTTACAAGTGAGCAACCAATTAGTTAAAAGTCGTTTCATGGCAGCTGGAAATTCTCGCATAGTCGGCACGTGTTCTTGCTTCAACGAATTCGTCGATTTTATCGACAACGAAGATCTCGTTGATTTATCTTGAAGGGCTTGCTCCAATTTCAATGGCAACTCACCATTCTAATATGGTAAATAATATTTATTTTTGATATAGAATTTAGAAGATTAATAAAGTTGAAATATTCTCGCTTGTTCTTACTTTTTTCAAGGTGTTACGTGGTCTTGGAAGATCCCGTGGAAACATAGCGATCAGTATGGAGAACATTCCCATGGTAACGCCTAAAATGATCCATCCCAGCCACCAAGCACCCAACCATCTTGGATCCTTTTTCGTTATAACGGGATGAAGGGTTGGATCGATGTAAAGGCTTAGGCAACCGTATCCCAAAAGAAAACCTATCGCCGGCCCCACGGTTCGAAGGGCGAACGTGAAACCTACAAAAAAATTTCCATTATTTTCAACATTTCTCTGTTAATTCTATTCTTTGTACATTATCTATCCATTCTATCGACAATTTCGGTCATCAGATTATCCGTATCAAAAATGACGCTAAAGTAAAAGATAAGCTAGACAAAAGGAACTAAGAATAAACGCAAACACGTTTGAGGTAGGGAGCTCAAAAGTTATCTTCCAACCTGTCGAACAACAACGTTTTCTATATGATAATAGAATATTTATTTGTAATCAATTTTAATAAAGAAAAAAAAAAACTTTGAAATTGATTACGAGCGATTTTTGTAGAGATTTATTCCAATACTTACCCAACAGCATAGGTGTATTCTTTTTTTTCGTGTTGTCGTCCAAATACGTTTGACCAAGTCCGTAATAAAGAGTTGTGCCAATTCCAAGGATGAATTGAGAGAGAAATACAAGCAAACGGGGAAGAAGACTAACATCTAAGAGAGCTTCGTCATCGCAGTGTTCCGGTTCGTTCATTCGTGGACAAATCGCAATGTCCCTTGGCACTGTCGTGGCATTAAGCAACGTTTGATCCAGGTATTCTTTCGTCAAAGCCATCGCGTCTCTCCCAGGACCAAATATAAAATGTGGAAGTGCAAGAATCAGACAGGATAATGCACTTAGCCCAACACCCACTGCTATCCATCTGGGACGATGACCAGAACCACCGTAATACGTTAAAATCAACGAGAGAATTTGAGAAATCTCGTTTCCCGATAATATCAAACCTATAACACGATACTCGATAAGAGAAACGTGTATCTTATTTTCATCTTACTAACAAAAAAATACTTTCGATCAATTATATAATATTTCTAGAAAAACAAAAAAAATAACACCATCTAAAATCATAAATGTTGATGGAATACTCTGGAAGAGTCGCAATACATTGAACATTTACGATTCGATCGATCGTTAAAAAATGAATAATTGCAACTGCGAATGGCTTTAAGTGATCAACGACGACGTTTCTTAGCTCTACGAATGTTGCGTGTCCCCTTACCCTCTCACTAAAAGATGTCGTTTTATGATTAACAACAAAGCTCTCGCGTAACACTGACACAAACACGTGAGTATATTAGTGGTGCAAATCATGTACACAGTTGGTCCATCTAACGACATATTTCTCACTTCTGTGATTGCGACATATAGATACATATATATGTGTATATATAAAGAAAGAGAGAAAGAGAGAGAGAGAGAGAGAGAGGAACTACTTACCTAGTCGACGAATACATGCACGAATGCGAACACATATATATGAATAAACTTCGAATGCGTTGCACGAGCGTGTGTTAGAGTGAAAACGTAAGCAGTTAAAGGCATACACATTCAGAATACAATTCGTTGCTTGAGTTCGATGATAAGTAATACAGAAATAATGGAAAACGTTTTTCGTTCGGAATGGATTGGATTTAATCAACTCTCTAAGAAGATAGCAAATTATGATGTCTTTTCGTACGAGACAAGTGGTACATCGGACCGAAGGAATAAAACCAAAGCCTGCGAAAGACCCTCGGTCTAGCTTGAATTAGATAAGTGGAGGTCCGCACGATATCGGATGTACCGTCTTGCAAAAGTCAAACGAGGATTATAACGCGGGAATGGATCTTCGGTTTTAATGGCTCTTCAAAAACTTTATTATAATATCTCTATTGATCCAGATATTCATATCTTTTCTAAAAAAAAAAAAAAAAAGCTTCCATTCTCTAATATAAATTTAGAACTAATTCGGACAATTAGTATATCAACTGTATCTGCTATAGGTAATTTACAAGATTATCGTGGCATTATATGTAACTATAAAGCGATACGTAATTTTACAGATAAAAGCCAACAAAAAAATATTGTATTCTTATGACGCGGATATTTACATTTTAAACACGGCAAGTAATTAATAATGCATTAACTAGATCGCTTCTGTTTTCTCTTCTTTATTGAGAACGTGATCTTACCTGTCGTACGACTGGGTATCTTAAACCTTTTCTCCAATGTCGTGAGGGTGACGACAATATAAATGAAAGCCATAGCCTGCACGGTACCCAGAAGACCGTAAACGGCTATGAAATTCTTCGGAGTAGCTCGATCTCGTAGCCATTTGGGATAAATCCCGAATATTCCGCAGCTGTTGTTCATCCCTTTGACGTCGCTGAAAAATGTTGTATATCTAATTTTTTTCTAAATCGTACGTAGAGATCGAAAATTATTTTTTTCACATTATTTCACACTATTAACAAATATTTTTATTTCACCTTTTTAATATAGATTTATGACATAACTGATAGTATAACGTATAGATTAACGATTGATATAAATACTATGATACAATATACGCACGACGAAATCGAATAAAGATTCGGTAATCGATACTGAGATCGCCGACGGAGGCAAAAGTGGTGATGAAGAAATCGCGGTTTATCTACTCAGAACACGCTACGTTGACGTTTTTATCTATGATAGATGAATCCGCGTAATTATATGTGCCTCGAATGGAATAACGCGCGAACGTCCTCTGCTTGGCAATAGTTTATCGCACAAATTTCAAATCTACGTGATTTAATTAATAAGACGAACGCTTTACAACCTATCGTATAAGCGTCATATTTTTCAATGATTTATTTCTATTTCATTATTTTCTTTCTCTTTTTGCATTAGTTGTACGTTTCCATAAGATTCTCACGAATGAGATACGATATTATAAGTAACGCATTTATGCGACAGACAAATAAATGGATATTGTTCGAGCGTATCAAAGAGACAATACGATTAAAATTATCGGTTCGTGAAAAGAGGTATGAACGAGCTGAAGAAGATTAAACTGAATTAAGAAAACCTAGCCGATCGCTTATCAATTTAAAGCGCAATACAAATAATATTCAACAATATTTTGCATTATTTCGTTCCGTGTTCGTAATATCCATATATGCCTAGATTAAACGAGAAGTTAGGCTTGTTCCACTAAAAGACAATTAACTTCCGCGACTCTGATTACGATCGTTGTACCGCAATTTGCAAAAATTGCTCGAAATCGTTCGCCTACGATCTACCATCTTCTTGCTTGATAATGATAAAAGAAAAGAAAATATAATAATGTTGGTAGATAATGATAACGCGTTTCATATATACGTATATATTATTCATGTTAGATTTCTCTCATTATCAGTGATTCTGTGCTCAAACGATAGATAAAGAAGAAAAATACTTGATTTATTTCAAGGACGAATCCAAGGGAGGAAGAAGAAGAAGAAGAAGAAGATGAAAAATATAATTATTATCAAAGTAGTGTAATGAACTTGATCGTGATGGAGAAAAAAAATTGTAAAAAGTTCAAGAAGATCGGCCTTCGCGAGTAGGAAAAAAAGGATAAATAAGATTTACATACTGAAGTTGGAAGTAGTCGGTTTTCGCGTGAATCGTCTCGAGGCAAGAACTACGCTCGGTAGGATGATCTCTGTGCATGTGTATACCTACCTGAGACGCGGACTTACGTAATTGGAATCGCAACAAGCGAACGGAGATTTTCATTGGCAACGATCGCGCCAACGTGCATTTTCGAACGCTTCCGCCTTGCGATAATTGAGATTCTTCAGGAATGATCGATGAGAAAGTTATCATCGAATTTCAACGAGATTAACATTTCTTATCAATTTTAGATAGGATCGATCATGCGATAATTATTATTTTCGAAAATACGAACGCACGTTTTATACAAATATATAAGAAGCACGGACTATAGCAATAAAGAAAAATTATAGATCACATTTTGTTATTTAAATGAATAACGCGCTAGAGTAATTCAACTACGTATGGCCTACCCGAATGATGTGACGTACCTATATGTTGAGATAGGAGACAGCTGACAGGTGTCATCGATACGAAACAAAATTGTCACGCTTTATAGGGGAATAATATCAATATATATTTTTCTCTGATGACCGGTTCTCGCACTGTCTTAATGATAATGATTAAGCAAATTGAAATATGACAAATATGAAATAAGAAAGATCCTTGTTTGGTTATATATACCTATTAACATGAATATTCAAACGTTAACGAGAAAGAAATGATTAGATTCCAAAAAAAATGTGAATATATAATAACATAAGAAACGCGTTAGAAGAAAAAAAAAAGTAATGATTGTTTAATGAAGGAGAATAGAGGCATGTGAGACAAGTAGAATCTCGATCTCTCACCTTGGCCTTAAACTAGTGGCTTCTGCATGGGCTCTCCGAAAAGGAAAGGACTTTCAGGGTCACGAGTCTCCTTGGATCGCGATCCTTGAGTCTTTTCCTTGTTAACCACGTTAGATTTGACTTTGTTCTTTTCTCTTCCTTTCTTCCTCTCTCTCTCTCTCTCTCTCTCTCTCTCTCTCTCTCTCTCTCTCTCTCTCTTCCTCTTTCTCTTGCGTTTAGTTGTGCCGGTTTAGTTTAAAGAAGAGCGACAGAGATAGAGAGAAAGAGAGAGAGAAAAAAAGATCTGGAGGCCCCAAGAGCGTTCCAGTTTGCGCTGATAATCGCGGGATTACTGAGCTCGCTCTCGTTTGTATCAATGGTAATGCTCCCCTACTACTATTGCCCCATCATTCAAATCGAATGATAAGCGGTACGTCATTCAAAGAACGGTCTGAATAAAATGCACTGGTGCTGACATCTCATCAGATAGTATACACGTCTATGATCGTGGATCGTTCGAACGGTTACAGAGAGCGCTTTATTGTCTTGGTTGTAAACCAAGCTAATTATACGTAACAGTCTTCCCCAACACACCTACACCAAAATGCTTTCCTACCTAATCGAAAATATTACGTATCGATTGATACATAGGAAATGAATGAACGATTTACGTCGGTAATCTATTTTCCGTATTAAAATTATTTCACAAATACGAAGATTATAATATATTTATATTAATATAATAATTATATTCTTGTTCTTATTATTATTATAAATATGTCAATATAGATATTATTCAATGATAGACGTATATTTTTGCATAGTTTATTTGAAAATAATAGGATTCGAATGTATCGCAAAATTGTATGTTTCATTAAAAAATTGGACATTTCCTATTCTCGAGAAGAAGAAAATGATCGGAGACGAGTTACTTCGTGCGGAAAATACGAGCGGTTATTTTTGTCCGGTTCTTACGTGGAGACGGTTGTTGGTAACTGGCAAAGGAAAGGGGGAGAAGAAAAGGAAGATGAGAAGGAGAAGACTATCCATTCGTTCTACTCTCGTGCACGCTCCAATATATCATCCCCACGTAGAACCCCGCCGCAGCATCCAGAACGACCAAGAAAGCTACAGGATTATCTTTAGTTACGAAAAACGATGAGATCGTATTTCGCTCGAAAACTTACGTCGAATCCTATCCGTTTTTACCTCTTTCTTTCTTCCTCTTTTTCCTCCTCCTCCTCCTCCTTCTCCTCCTTCTCTTCTTACAACTTGAAAGTAAAAGATTTCATTCCTTTACTCGAAGTGGATAAACTCGACTCCCTAAAGCGAACAAAATAAATTATCTCGGATTGATTCATAAATAAATATTACTATTCAAAAATAGTACTGTAAGTTCTCGTTTTATGCAGTCTTACAGAACATACGTTTTACAGAATAGCTCATATAAAAACTGGCATAAACACAAATTTAACTACTTAAATTTTAAAACAAAAAACATGGATGGGTTGAAAAGTTCTGAACTTAATACGAGAAAGGTTGAATAATTGTTCAGCTCTACCCGTGTTAAGCTGAAAACTTTTTAGTCCTCATCTAAGGCTAAAAGCTTTTCAACCCATCCATTTTTTCTATTTCTTTTGATTGTTTTCTTGGAAGCGGTTAAATATTGGGGTCTTACTGCTTGCATAGTGTATGACTCTGATGGAGCCCTACAACTGTGTATAATTAGAAACAATCGGTGCCTTGTCAATTTGGTTCTCTCCTTGTTAGAACAAATCGGACAAACAGAAATACGTTTCCTCCCTTGCGTCCATAATATCGTGACAAATTCAAATTAAGTAAAAGATATTTTAATTTTATTCTAATAAAAAGGGATCTCGTTAACAATGAAATATTTTATTCGTTTTTTTTTTTTAAGCGAGCATCAATTTATGCAATTTTAGACCATAGGTTAAATCAAAAATTCTAATAATTATTGAAAGTTTTAATTGATTCGAACATCGTTCATGGCAGGTGAAGTCATTTTTTTTTGGAAACGACGAGCAGTTCACACATCCTCACATTAATAGAATAATTGAAATAATCTTTGGGCATACCACGAGTTTTGGTGACTGTTTATACTTGGGCTTTCTTTAATAAGCCTACATGTACATGTTCCCCCAAGAAATGTTGTGAATTAAATACAAACTGTACAATTTCAATTATCAATTCAATTTCAATTTCAATCATAAAAATGATCCGCATAAAAAGAGACCTTACAGTACTTATTTATGAACCAACGTAAAAATTAGTATTACAAGTATGTATCGTACTTATTAGATTAATTCACGCATATCTACACGAATTGATCCAATAATGAAACGAGGCAGCTACAATTATAAAAAAGAACAAGCTTGATACATTAATTAATAACAACGTCACATTGGCTTCTTTTAGATGGAATATATTTGTTTCCAATTTTTTTTTAATCTATCAATATATCGTATAATAATTATTATTAATTAAGATAACAGACAATATATTACAGTTGTCGATTCTAAGCATCTAGAATATCCAAGAAAAGATCATTCATAGTCAAGACGAAAGATCTATTCTCCCTCATGGTTTTGTTTTCTATTTCGGTATGTACTCTTTTTTTGCTTGTCGACGATGGAAGCTATTTCTGTTTCTTTTTTTTCTTTTTTTACATTTCGTTCAAGCATATTTTAAACTAGTTTGTCGTTTCCGCACTACTCGTTCCCACTGTAGAACATGCGTGTCTACGTTACAATTTTCTTCCACTAAGTACATAATCATCAGTAATTGATAAAGATAAAAATAATATAATAATACAATATAACATAACCAATAACTAATACGAATAATAATGAATACAATAATAGTAAAAATAAAATAATAAAGTGACAATAATAAAGTATAATAAATTGTAATAATAATAGTAGTAATAACTATTTGGAACTAATAGTAATGGTAATATATAATATAAATTTATTTTATAACTATATTTAATTAATTAAATACGATAAACTAAGCTGCCCTATATATCCCCCCCCTTCTCTCAATCTCTAACGATATTTTGTTATTCTTTCTAACTTGTCACGAAATTTTTATTTTTTTCTCTTCAAATATAATACATATTCTATTTAGAAATCTATAGAATCGAACAGACCTCGTATTTTGTATGATTTTAAAATATTTAGGACTAAACATTGTCTTGTGTTTCATATCTTGATTCTTTCACTTCTTCCAATGCAATAATTTAGGTGTTCTGTTAAAATATCCGACCAATCAAAGTCTCAAAACATCATCGCTTGCATTACGATTTGGCGTATACAACAGGCGTATCCAACAGGCGTATCCAACAGGCGTATCCAACAGGCAAATAACATTCACGTTTAATGACGTTATCGCTTTTTACAAATTACTGACTAGTTTCTAGTTGTTAAAACTATAAACGAATTGTGCTTAGTCTTATAAGGCACCGAACTAAAGGGAAACTAATCCCATTTTTTCCTATGATTCTTTTATCTTCGTTTGTAATATGCTTTTTTTTTTTTAGATACTAAGAAAATTTGGTCTTCTCCCATTTCATTTCCCTCTCAGTCGCGTATGATGATTTAAACAATATCGTTTCTTTCTTCCTTCCATCCTTAAATAAAAATAAATGTTCTCAACACGAGATAAGGCAACACGAGTAAGACACTTTATTATTCTTTGTCGAATTTACGAATGATTCCTACGAAGGCGTCCCCTTCTCTTATCACTTTATTATTATCTAAAATCATTTATATAGTTTTTCGGACAAGAAGTAGTATTTATAACCGAGTAGTAGTAACAAACGACTCGCTATTTTCGTTTTAACAAAGATAACGCTACTTAGTTTTAACTTCTTCAATAGATAAAATGTCATGTCGACGCCAAATCTTTCGGACATATTTCATTTTTTGTTTTTCTTTGTTTATTTTTGTTTTTCTTGCAATTTTCTAAATGATTTCACAAATGACCAAAAATTGGGTTACGTCGACAAGATATGCTTACACATTCAACGCTTTCATTCTCTTTCTTTCTCTCTCTCCCAATTTCACTACTCACACACACGAATAAATAGAAATATGTAACTAAACTATGCGATCGAACACGATCGCTCGTCGTATTTTTCTCCGCTTATTAGCGAGAATCTTCCAAGAATAAGATAAAAACGTAAATATGTACGTTTCAACCAACATGTCAACACGAGAATTCGTTCGTCATATTATAAAACTGAAAAGAATTGACTTAAGTTAGAAGAGAGAGAGAGATAGAGAGAGAGTATATAGATATATATATTTGTGTGGATATATATATATATATATACACACATATACATATATATATATATATATAAACGTATATGTTCATATACGTATATATAATTGTTTATATATATATACATATATTACAGGACGTTTATGGATATATATATATATATATATATATATATATATATATAATTAGCACTTGCGAAGAAATCGTCATTCGATGATCTCGAATATAAAAGATTTAAATATCTTGTAAGATCCTTTAAAAAAAATTCTTCTTCCTTTTCTTCTTTCTCTCTCTATCATTACTAATCGTGAATAATAAAACGATTCTGCGATAATTTTGTTCTTTTTGTCCCTTATTAATTTGATTATAAAACAAAAATGAACGACAATCGTTCATCGTCGAAATCAATATTCGCGATATTTCTAGCTTATTATGAACGATTCTCGTTTTTGACAACACTTTGAGATCCATATCTCATTGTAATCTTGCTTCCTGAGGCGTCGTTTGGTATGGTAATCCAGGGAAAGCAGCACCCGCCGTTGCTGCAGCAGCAGCAGCAGGCAAACCCGCTGCACCTGGTAGAGTCGCATATGTGTACGGCGTCACATAACCTGCCGCTGCATTTACTGAAAAAATAATAAATTATATTTCATTTCTGCCAAACTTTCATTAATATCGTATAATTAATAATCTGAGATATATATCTACAATACAAATTGATTAGTGTTTGCCTAAACATCAAATTAAATCACCACTATCATCATCATCATTATTATTACGATTATTATGACCAAAGTTAGATCGTAGTTATTATTGCCATCACGACTACCATAAAACAGCACAGCGATACGGAAACGTACATGTTCTTTTTGATTACAAAGCACAATCAAATAACAGCCTACATAACAAACCTAGAACAATGTAAAACAAACTTCTATAAATCAATGTATATATATTTGATGTACTGATAAACGTATACTAAACAATAAATTCACATTTTACCAAGAGACTATATAGGTACGTTCGTCAATGAATCACTTGATAATTTCAAACGAATAATCGATAAGAAACAAAAGAACAATGAGAACGCATCAGAGACGAAAATATACCACGAATTGAAATGTTTAATATCGTACATATTCTGTTTGCAGGCCGGAATGAAAGCAGTAAATCCAATCAAACATTCGACGTAGCCCGCAATTAAGGATCCCTAACATAAATGACAAGAACTTGAAGAGGACATTTATCGTTCAGCCAACATTGTTGTTGGTGGTAATGGTGACAATAGCGATGATCTCGCAAAGTTGGATAATTGTGGTGACCATTTACGTGTTCTGTGTCATTTAGGTGTTCTTCGTAAGGTAAATAATCTAGACAATCTTGGTGTTCTTCGCAAGAAAAATGATTTAGGTCATTTTGATAATCTTCGTGATCATTTTGGAGATCTTCGTAGTAATTTTCGTGATCTTCGTAGTAATTTTGGTGATCTTCGTAGTAATTTTGGTGATCTTCGTAGTAATTTTGGTGATCTGAGTAATCTTGGTGATCTAAATAATCTGTGTTACTAATTGTAAGTAGATCTTTGTAAGGTAGATGACCTAGGTAATTTGTATCATACTCGCTATCGATATTATCGTAGTTATCAATTTGATCGTTATAATTGTAATAAGTGATGTCATCGCGATCATCATGATTATCGTAAGTATCATGGCAATAGTGATGATTTTCTTTTTCCTGGGTATTTTTCAAATGAAACATACCCGCGGCGGCAGCACTGCTGTACGGATAGGCCTCTGCGAAATTGTAGGAAGTACCCGGATAGGTGGCAGCCGCTGCCGCTACATTTTGATAATCGTAAAATTGCGTAGCTGCAACTGCGGCTGCGTGGCTCAACTGAGTCGCCGGAAGTGGTACCAAGCCGCCTGGCGCCGCTGCGGCCAGATAAGGAGACTGGTAAACGTAGCCCGGTGGTACTCTGAAACGTGAATACAATAGTTGGTAAGGTGTTCAACATTTTTTTTATCCAGGCTTCTTCAAACCTCACGAGAACTGCCGCGCTCTGATTCATTAATTAATCAATCGCGAATTTACAATATTCATTGAAACAATATGGATCAATTTTAAACAAATATTTCGATACTTCGCTTTAAATTCGGAGCACGGCCGTTTTCGGAAGAACAATTCTCTTCCTTCTGTGATAGGATTCAATGGATAGGAAAAAATGCTTTTTAACCCTGGTGATAAGTTCATAACTACTGGCTCACTACTGGGTGCTTTATTGTCAAAGACGTGCGTGCTCTTTTAGTATCAATGATTTAGAATAAACGTTTTGTTACCGTATTCTACCAATATAGGTGTAACAAAATTAATTATATTCAAGCACGTCGACAAATAGACGATTTCTCATGAAAAAAAAAAAAACAAAAAAAAAACAAAAAAAAACACGAAAATTAATGATCATCGATGTTAACGGTCTATCGCTCGTGCGCAACTTTCTACCAAAACCAAACAACAACACCAAACCGGCAAGATGAGCGAAGGACCGAATATTTTATTATACATTCAAATACACATATACATATTCATTTATTTATAATTAATTATAGTTTTTTTTTGTCTTCTCTATATTTTTCAAACCCAAATAGCAATTATCATAGAACGCGATTGCCAGCGAATGAAAAAGGGGATGGAAGGAAACAATATTGGAAAAGGAAAGCGCAAAAGGAAGCGAATCCTGTTTCGCAGGTGTGTATGTGTGTTTATAATGTGTGACATAATTATAAGGCAACAACAACAACAACAAAAGTTACGCAACAATCCAAGAAAAAATCCTTTCAACGTGTTGGCAAAACAACAGCAAACCATCAATAACAAACGTGTACGAGTGAGAAATACTCTTTCGGCACACGGCACACGATTATCTAACACCAACGTTAGTACCTAGCTTTTACGTGAATTAAAGAGAGAAACAACAAAAATGAAAAAGAGACAGAGAAATAGTCATGATAAGAGAGAGAAAGAGAAAAAGTGAGAAAGAGAAGAAAAATCATTTTCAAGAAATACAAAATAAAATAAAATAAAAATCAAGTAGACGTTTAAACGTTGTTCTTGTAAATGTCTTTTTATTTTTTATTTCTCTATTAACGCGATTTATCATTATATTGTCAACGTTCTTCTTACTAAACAGCTTTCTTGATCTCAAAGAAAACGAGGAAGAAGATCCGTTAAAGTTGGTGCCTCCTCCTTCCAAGAAATACGAGCTTACAATATATAGATTAGCAAATCATCAGAAACGAGGATAATTCCTTGGCTCTTTTTCCCAGAGACAGCCCTGAACTTTTTAACGGATCGATAACGGCTAGTGTCCAGTCTAGGAGGAAAATCAATATGTCGTCCTGCGGCATCGAACCGGTCCCGTTCCTCCCGGTTTCTCCGAGTTCCGGCAAGCGGATTACCGGGGCCATCGCACCATCGGGGAAATGCCAAACTGTCTTTCCTTTGTCGCGTTATTCCCCTCCCCAATCGGTTAAATCACCCCCGAGCTTCTTACTTTTACACAGTTATATTTACACACACTGACAATGAACTTTTCTAAGTATATTCGCAACACCGTTTAACATTCTTTTATGTCAGACTTAATACAAATATTTGGAAATTACTAATATCGTCAAAATAAAATTCTCATTTTTTTTTTTTAAATATATCTACATTTTCATCTCATAATTTGTAATATTTATTGCAAAGAAAAAAAAACATAGAGAGAGAGAGAAAACAACGATATTTCATTACAATTTGGATACTTCGTTAGAAAATCAAAAACACGTGGTTACAAGTAATATTTTTTATTTTCTTAAACAATAGAAAAAAAGATTTATGAACTGTTGGTAGTTTGAAAATAATTTAACGCGCGGAAGTCGATCGACGATCGTCACAAAAATATCAGGCTTGGCACATTACCAGCTTTTACTACCAAATGCTCCTTATCTCGAGTTTACTCTCTCTTTTTCCCTCCTTTTACTTCCATGACGATACTTCGAAAGGAACGAGTATCCGGCAGATCATACTATAAGATGACGTGTAGATCCATCATTTTTCGACTGATTTATAACCCCCTTTTATAGCGAATACCGATCTATTAAAGTAACTACGAAGGCAAGATATCTCTCGAGGTAATCATCTACGGAGTCCGCTCATTACGTTGCTCTAGAATTGCATTCTTGAATTATAAATAGAAATTGCCCTACTAATTGTAAAGTGCCGTTGTTGAATTACATAAACTATTTGTATCTATCATAGAATAAATGAATATAATAAACCATCACACATTTTTCCTTGAAAATGAAACTAAAGTGGAAATATATAATATAATAATATCCAACGTAACACACACACAAAGAGAATAATGCACTTAACTTGATTATCAATCTAATCTCGAAATTGAAATATTTACGTTAGGAATGTTTATAAAACGAAAGACCAACATTGAACATTAGCTTTAAATAATAAAATCGCTATTGACAGTTGGATTACCATATCGATTAGATTCGATTAGACCGATTGATTATTGAAAAAATAATCAATAGATAATCCTTAGAAAGATCGAATATTAAATATGGAAAATAGAAATCTTCCTAAAGTATGCTTTAAAACTATCATATTCTTTGTTCTCGTCCAAGTCCCGCTTTTTCATATCTTTATATATTGTGTATTTTTTTTGTTGTTTTGTTTTATTTTTTATTCCTTTTTACACCTCCTTCTTTTCCATCGAACTTATCTCTCATCCGCATCTCGAGCGAGGCCCGTGCATTATGGATGGCTCGCGTGTGCTCAACCCTACTTTTCCTATTCCGCGTGTCCCTTTTCTCTCCAACCTCCTCCTTTTTTTCTTCCCTACCGATCGTCCTCCCGACTATTTTCAATCTCAATCCTATTACACCTATGCACGATATAAACCGACATAAGTGCATATGACAAATTAGCACACAAATTTGGAATACGTACGATCATGCTTGTAGAAACATTTTTATTATTTATGCAAGCCTTACTTCTTCGTAATCAAAATCTTTCATGTTTCTTGATTAATTGTAGTGTCACGTTAATTTCGCTAATATCGATTCAAGGTTATTCTACAAATGAAATAGCTTGCGACAAAAAATACCTAATACTAATAGACATCGGCCGATTAATTTAATTAGGTATATATTAAATTTATCATTAAAATAAATTGTATTATTTATGTATTTTTTCTTTTGTAAATTCGGTGTTTTGTTCTCTTTTAATTTTTTTCAATCAAGATATCGAAAAATTCGATTGAAACGATAAGAAAATAAAGTATCTCAAGATGAGATATTCGCATCGATCGTTTTTGTCCACGACTACATCGACGTCCTTGGTAGGTTACCGCAAAATGCACGTACTGTTGTCATTTTAATACGTACCGTAATTCGCCACGATGTAAAATTGCGTGGTAGCGCATCGCGACTGAACGAACATTATACGGAAAGCTTTTATACGATCGATGTAACCCTCTTTCAATTTGTGTGTTTGTGAGTGTGTATATTGGTGTAGGGGTCGAACGCATTATGCCATTCCTCGTGGAGATAAGTGAGCATAATATGTCTTCTAGCTTCATCAATTTAGTGATAATTTACTCACTTTACCTAGTTTTTGCATACATACATTTCTATATCCATTAACAAATTATAAAATATTATTTTTATTATTTATTATATTATATAGCGAGCCAAAGTGCCGTAATAATTTCTTCCGACATTTAGACTTTTCGCGACAAACAAATGAGTTCGTTCTAATATTAAAATATTTTTCCGCTTATAAATGAGTACGAAACGTCACTCAACGAACCTTGAGTTAACTCATTTGCAGCAAATTATTCTTTGGTGGTCGATGTAATCCATAATATTCTAATCATTTTGATATAAATTGACAAAATGAATTGCTGTATGTAAATTCAATGCTGTTCGCGATTGCAGTTAAGACGATCAGTCGTCGAAAAGGAAGAGACCATTAAAAGAAAACTTGGAATTAAAGCGCGCGTGCCATGTTGTAAGCCTAGAAGACTCGTGGAGAGGAATGGGAAAGGAAAAAGAAATCGTTGGTAAGTCATGAAGATAGACCCCTCCCCGACCTCCCGTTGGAATCGTCCTTTCGTGACGGATCTAAGTGACCACCCTCGATTTCCGACGTAAAGTGGTCGTACGTCGCGATTAGGATCTCTCGACTTGTTCGCCAACGACTCAGACACGCACGGACTCACGAATGCACGAAAGTAGGAAAACCCTCCCTCCTCCTCCTCCTCCTCCTCCTCCTCCTCCTCCTGTCTTTCGATACAGTCAAAGAGTCGATGTCAAAGGAGAAGAATAGGGAGGAAAAATGAACTCCCCGTGTAAAGGTGAAGATCGGTAGGGGTAATAAATTTGTGGGAAGGAACGTAGCCATTCGAATCAGCGTATATATGTCTATATAGGTACTTGTATTTATATACACACGTGTATAGGTAGTGTGTATGCGTACATATGTTTCAAGTTCATTAAGAGGGTGCAGGTGCGAACCGCGGTAGAACGTTATTGTGATTAGAAATTATTGTCATCGTACACCTGCTCTGACGTATGTTTGCAGCTTGTATCTACATATTATGGAAAGAAAATGATGTGTTTCTTAACTCTTCGAATTACGAATGAAGATATAGCTAAAGTCGGTCAGGGGATTAGTCGATCCTTGAATGTGATGTAGATTACTACTAATATATCTATACTCGACCTTCAACATTATCTCGTTTTAAATGAACTTTTTTATATGGAATCTTTGAGGATCTAATCGATGAACTTACCAGCTATCGAAAGCTATTAACTATGATCAAATAATGAAGAAATTATTTAGTAAAAAAATTCACTGTGAATAATCTCTACCGTTACTGATAATAAATTGTCTTTGGTTACTGAATTACTGGAAATCCGACTCCTAGATATTAATCGTCTATCTGCGTGTGTGCGTGCGTGCGTAAAGGTAGTTTGCGCGCATGTGTGAACTCGAGGAAGGTGTCGCGTGGTATCCGGGTCGTGTCTTGTTCGCTTTCGATGCGCAGGGAGAGAGGATAGGCCACCAAAAGGCTGTACCGCGGCGCCGGCGCCCTGGATAATCCAATGGGATCATCCGCCAATCCACGGAAACCGGGCCGGACCAATAGAGAGTCCTAGGGGTGGTGCCTCGTCATACTTTAATTGCTTTTCCTACGCAAACACTAATCATTTCTTTAATTTTTTCGACTTGACACATCGATCGATCCAATCAAATTGTTTTAGATGTTCAATTTCAATAGTTCCAAGAGTTATTTTATCATTAACATTTTATTTTTAAATCACGGAATGGATGTTGACATAGGACAGAAGGAGAGAAAGATGTTGGAAATATTAAATATAAATTTGGCTATCGACGATGTTAAAGTAAAATAATGAAGAAAATAATAATGATATTCAAAGCAGTGGCCTGCCTTTTAAATCTAAACACAATATGAAATTGGAAAGATCGATGAGCTACGATTATTAGTGCCAACGATCGGAATAAAATGAATTTAATGGGATCGACTGTCTGCATCCACGACTATATTTAATGTTTTTTAGAAAACATGAATACATTGTATAAGACTTTTCGAGCAATATGCACGTATTTACAATATGTGCACTAGAGGGGATGCTTATATAAAAATAAATACTACGATGAAATAAATGAGATACCGACGAGGATAAAAAAGGGAGGGAGGAACCTTGAGGATGAAATATATGTCGCTTGAAAAGAGACTGCGTTCGTTGAAAGAACAACGACGATGAGCGATGCACGATGGGCGATGCACGATGGGCGATGCACGATGGGCGATGCACGATGACGACGAACGTTCGCGTGTTGAAAATAGAAGTTCATTTAAATACTTACGATTTCGTTAGGGCTTTTGATGTTGCGACCAGAAAAAGAAGGAAAAGAAGAAAGGAAAAAAAATGTTCAAATAAATTCTACGAAAATAAAATTTGGAAAAAAGAAATCCTTCGTCGTCGCTCTAATCATTTTCTCGTTAATAAAAGTATGTAATAATTTAAACAAAATAATTCATATTCTTGTTATTATTCGTTGAGTAACTATAGCAATATATTGCTAGTGTCGCGTGTAACAAACAAGACATATATATTAATAAAAGTTAGATGGCATAAGCGCCAACATTTATAACGTCGATCATCGTCTAAAAGACACGATAGTTCGACGAGGCTGCGAAGAGACGAGATCGAGAAGAATTTGCGTCAGATGAGCGACAACGACAGGTGGAGAAGAAGAGAGTCGCGATAATGGAAATAGAAGCGCGG